CCTCCGAAAACCCCACTAAAGCATCATCTATGAGTTGGGTCCAACTTGATGGCACACAACAACCACCACCACAAAATTTGAGAATGATTTCTTCTTGGATACATCTTTTTTTTTTTTTTTAGCTTTTTTTAGAAAATGTTCAGATTTATTCTGCTGCATGGTACTATTGTTCCATCCTGCAAGCAATGAATAAAAAATGCTCCATTTTCTCCCATCTTTTCTAACACCTTCTTGATACTAGCCATTCTTTTGGGTACACAGTGTTAGCTCACTGTGGTTTGAATTTGCGTTTCTTTAGAGAAGTAAAGGTGTTAAGCAGCATTTTATATGCTATTTGCATATCTTCTTTGGACAAATATCCATTTAAGTTTGCAGTCTATTTTCTAATTGGATTGTTTGTCTTTTTTTTGTGGTTGATTTCTACAAGTTACTTGCCTATTCTGGACATTATACCCTTATTTGCTAATTGTTGCTATTAGGATGCATTTTTCAAATCTAAGATAATAACATATGATTGCTGTAAGAAAGTCCCTGCAAAAGACAAAACCACTTGAGATAGCTTTACTGAAAAAATAAAAACATAAAACCCCACAAGTTTTCCCTTAACTGGGATCAACCTTAACATCAGTAAAAGGACTACCATGCTTTAGCAAATTGTATGTGTATCAGTATACTTTTGGACTTGTTTTCCTACCTTCTGTTATCTTTCCAGTCTCCCACTTCAAGTTCCAAAGTGCCCTGGAAGTGTCGAGTGTGCAAAACAGGCATCAGTCCACCGAGTGTATGGAGGTGCCCACACAAATAAGCTGTAGCTGAACTAACCAAGAAAAAGTAAAAGGAATAAATGATAAAAAATAACCTGGGATGCCAATTTAATGAGGGGGGAAGCCTTTTCAGGAAAACATCATATACAGAGCAACAGTTATGGATTTAAAACAACGAATTTCAATTTTAGAAACCTGTCTTACCTCATTATTGAACGAATTCCTGGTGATGAAGAAATGATAGTAGATGTTGTAAAATGTCCAAACCAAATAGTATGGTTGCTCCAACTACTTTCCTTGGCCAGTAACCAAAGGTCTTCCATTTGTTTCTGAAATAAGAAAAAAAAAAGGGAAGGCTTTTTAAATAGGACTCAGGCTGAAATCTAATCTTAAGAGTTTTAAGTAGGTTAAACAATTCTCTTAAAGATTTATAATTACAATATGTATAGGGTCTTACATTCTACTAATTAATGATTTACATTAATCTCTTTAAGTTTCAAAGTATTTTCAAGCATATTTATGTCATCTTAATAATAACTTTCTTCGGGAGCTCTGGTGGCCTAGTGGCAAGAAGCTGCACTGCAATCCCAGAG